CAGGAATTACACAGGAATTTCTATAGCAAAGTGCATCTCTCTGCACTGACATGACTGCAAGTTTGATGACAATAAATAAAGCATAGAAACAATGAAATTCAATGTTGTCAAGTTATTTTCTGAGTTAACAAGGTAGTAATATTTTATCTGGCTTGTAAAATTTTGCCTTCAGTGAATTAGTAAATAAATCATTGATTCCTCCTGATGAGTATTCTTAGCGTAGGTAATATCACTTGAATGTTTGTGTGAAGTGTTCTCGAAGAAAAAGCAGGATAATTTTCATTTTAAAATGTGTTGATAATGTCTGTGGTTTTTTGTTTGGTTTTTTTTTTTAATTATCTACTTTGAAGAGCTGGAGTAAAATTCCAATATTAGCCATCAGAGCCTGAAATTCACATGGTGTCAAAGAAGCTGAGATTTCTAGCACTGTTATTTAAGCAGGCCAGCTTAAATTTGGTTGTAAAATAAAGTAACTGCATTAAATTTATTCCTGAAGAAGCAGAGGATGTCACAAACTGCCATATCGTTGCCATATATTCTTTGTAAAATGACATGGAAGGGAGGACTAGGAAATCCTAGACAGAGATCTTCATCAATAATTGGTAATTTACTAAAATTATTATTGATAGACATTTTCATACTTACTAAAGTTATTTGGGCAGGAGAAGACATCTGAAAGGGGCAAAGTAAAATGAGAGAAAACCACCTTGAAGCCTAAATGACACCCACAAAGTATGCACAAGCTAGTATGGGATGGTGACCCATTACAAGTGCAGTTCCCCATTTTGCACATACAGATCTGCTGGTTTTGCATGTACAGTAACTGTGCATTCATATAATGCGCCAGATCCACAGGATTTATGTATCACGTGCCTGTGTTTAAAATAGTTTAATCTATAAAAGAGCTTAAACAATAATTTTGTAAGTATTAGACGTTAATGATACTGCTATGATACTGGAAATTGAAATTGGGTTCAGCTGAGCTTGGTTCAGGTCATTCAGGCTAGAGTTCCAGTAGTCTATTAAGATTTCATTCTCCTTTTATACCACTGACAAAAGGCTTCTAGCTAATTTCAGAAATGCCAGATTAATATCAAGGAATGGTAAGAATTTTGGTGATTCAGAGAAACATTAAAATAGCTGCCTGGAGAGTAGAGGGTATCCACATTTGGCATAAATAATACTGCCTCACTCTAGCAGTTCTGAGCCTCCACAAATAGCTTGTTACTGAGTAATATGTTAGAAAATGGCTATAATGAACTTCACTAAGATCAATAATCAAGATACTTTTACTCAGAAGCTGAACTAGCCTGATAAAAGAAGACTTACAGTAATATTTATTGCATTTTTACTCCAAACTCTTTCTTCCAGGGGCTATGCAGTTTGTTTAACAAAAGGTTGATGCCATACATCGATTTTACGACAGCACAAATATAGCTAAATGTTACATGCTGAGTAGTGAAGAAACATAATAATCAGGGCTTTGTCTTCTTGACTCATTGTTTTCTCAATATGCTGGACAATTCCTGTAGTTAAGCTAAAAGTAACTACTTTCCACATAAAAATCTAAAGTGTGGCCAAGTTCAGTCTATTGAAAATACATTTGCTAATTTTGTTTTTCATACGTGATATACTGAATATAATTTTCAACTTGGAGCATTATCTCATTTTGCAAGCCTTATTCTTACTTGATTTTGTAAAAGAATGTACTGGAACTGAAAGTTTTATGCATTGTAAATTCCACTATTTTAAAATTGGTCAAAACTGAGCAGAAGGTAAATTTCTCACTGTAGCTATCTGATATCTCGAGAACCTTTGAGAAAAAAAATCATCTCTACCATCCTTTGGTCTATTTTACAGCTAATATTCAGTTACAGAATTAGACATGACAATAAGAGCTTTTCATAAGCCTGTTTCTGCAAATCACTTAAAATACTCTGTTTAGGAAAAGCAAGTCTGGGTTCATTATGGGTTGTTACATACATGTTTTACTCTACTATAACCCCCCTTATTTTGTCCCACCAAAAGGTGATTCACATAACCTTTTATCCTGTGGCTTTCTGGGGTCTGCCCTGTGATAAGTAGCACAAAGTGAACAGGCATGCGTAACTTGAGGCGTTGCTTGCATTTTTGGAGTCAGTGTAGGATCTGTATGCCTGTAAACTTGTGTTGGTATGTAAAGGGTCAATCAAATTTAAAAGCAGATATAGACAGACAAAATGCACGTTCAAGATTAGTTTCTTCCATCCAGTGCCCATCCCATTGCCTGATGTTTCTTGGTCAATAACTTTGTTCTTTCCTTAGTATATCTGGGGTTTTTTTTCCCCTCCCATTTACGATATACCTCAGCTTGGTTTTATGCTCAATTAATGAGTTTTTTGAAAGCCTTTGGATGATAGGATTAAAAATGTTGATATGGTTTTCAAACTAAAAATATAATGGTTTCAACAATTGAAATAATTTGTGCTTTCACTTGTACTGCTCTGTATTACATTATTTTTTTTCTTCTCCCCTTTTCACACAGAGTATGATTTCTTCCATTGTGAACAGCACTTACTATGCAAATGTCTCAGCAGCAAAATGTCAGGAATTTGGAAGGTGGTATAAACATTTCAAGAAGGCAAAAGATATGATGGGTAAGCAAAAAAAATAATTTTTGCTGTGATGGTGGATACATACCATTATGTGTCACATCGAGGTCTGTCACAGTCATATAAGAAGCCAGGTCCTTTCACAGTAAGTTTAGGATGCTTTTGATGAGTAGATGTAGAACGTACATATATAGTGAAAGAATTCATTTAAATAAATATTTGCTACTGAAACAGCCAAACTTGACTTGGGTTGCCAGAGATGTAAAGCTGTCATTCTATAAATCTAGACATCTTCTACCACCCAGAATAATTGTTTAAAAAACCTGTTCCTGGAACTGTGACGGAGTGATTTTTTTAATGTATGTATTTTTTTCTTGCTCTGGCTAATGTATATTTAAAGAAACAGGCTTCTATAACTATTACTGCCTTCCAGCGAGAATGCTATAATTTTATAAATTCACATCTTTCTCTAACTTTGGGACCCTGATTTCAATTCATTTTAAACAAATAGTTGTTGTGACAATTGTTTGCTTGTTGTAGTAAGCACAAGTAAATTACTGGAGAAAAAAAAAATCCATCAGTGGGATGTATTAATTCTGTAATACCTTTTATCTTTGTGTATTTTACTGTTTTTAGAACTATTTCTTAAACCTGTTAACATAATTTTGAACACTTTATGTCAGAAAATTTCTACATAGTTTTTGACAGAATGAAGAAACAGGACCTCAATTTGGATTGAATTTTGAGCTTGACTTAGCTTTCAGTATCTGAAGCAAAATCATTCATCTACCAAAACGGGTTCCTTGCCTTTTATAGCTTACGGCTGTAATGAAGACAATGCATCACTTTTGTGATAATTGCTTGAATTACTATTCCAAGTGAATGGCCCACTTGGGTTGATCTCCACTTTCTGCTAGTGAAAAACAGGCAGCTTCTTTCTTTTATCTACTTTGTACCTTCTGTGCAACGCTGAACCCTTCTTCTGAGACCACCAGAGTCAGTGTTAAGACTTCACTTGGTTTCCCATGATCTGTGTGCGAGGCAGCAGAGCGCCTGCATGGGAGGGTGACCTTTCCACAGCAGGCTCTCCGACCCCCATGTTGGCAGTGCTCCTGCACTGGGCAACTCTGCAGTTTTCCTTACCTGACCTGCCAGGACTGGTTCACCACCCATTTGCTGGGGGACAGTGAGGTCAGTGCATAGAAAACACATGTAGGGGTGTGTTTTGCTGCATAACCTGGGGTGAGGGGCAGCACTGCCCTCAAAGCCACATGGATGAGGAGCAGCCGGTGCTCTGCTGAGGGACTGATCCAGGCTATGGACACCAAACATCTCTGTAGAACAACTAGCTTGATTTTTACTTGTTAAATTTCTACCCATGATAGGCCAGAGGGGGAAGGCAGGGCTGCGGGTGGGAATCCAGGTGCTGATTTCTTCCACCAGCTCTCATCCCTGTGGAGGAAAGGGTGGTCTTGCATTGAATGACTGTTAGTGAAGATCATAATTACTGTTGAAAAGCTCAGACGCTGCCTTTATTTTTTAGAAAAATATGTTTTACTGTAAATAAAAAATCACTACAACACTTTTGTGAAGATACTGGCATTTTGGTTTTTCAATACAACATGTTTTCTTAAGGCTATTTGCAGACCAGGATTGCCAAAGCTCTAGAACTGAGATTGTTTAAAAAGTGCCATACATTGATAAAAAGGCAAGTCCTTTACATCAGCCTGGAGTCGTTTATGTTGTCTTATCAAGCACAAGAGGGGTGCTGGAAGAACTCTTGTAGTTTAAAAAACTGTGTTGTTAATTAAAAAGGAGGGTGTGTCAAGGCAGATGAGTTAATACAAGAAAAAAATTCAACCATGTTGCAAGTCACTGAAAAAACCCATGCATACATGGTTGCAAGATAAAGCAGCCCATCTGTGTAATTTACATAAATTATACTAGTTCCTAGCAGTCCCATACAATTGAGGCAGCATCTAGAAATTAGCAGAGCATGGGGAGGTCCACACCCCCACCCTGCTTGTTACAGATTTCCAGTGGCTGGGAACTGCAGATGTCATGGTGGGGGACACCACAGGAGGAACAAAACCAGCCACCAGGGGCTTCTCTCTCTGGTCAGGGTGTGCTTTCCCGTAACAGTCCTCCTACTCTTTGCACAGATGCACTGACCATTCCACCTCCATCTTCTGCAGCACACAGAGTAGTTTCCTGTGTCTGATCTTTGCCCACTCTCTAGTTGCTTACTGCCATGTCCTAAGTCCCCTCCATCCATCGCTGTGGTGGTGTGCTCTGCAGCCATACGCTCGTGGTTCAGTTGCATTGTGCCTTTGTACAACTCTCAGGAAGTTAATCCTTTGCCTTATGTGGTTTCCAGCACGTAAGGCAAAGGAGTGGTTTTGCCTCTGATGTTCTACTGGTTTCTCCAAGGGCCCAGTGATGATGGTGACCAGTTTGTTGGGTTTTTTGTGTGGTTGGTTGTTTCGGTTTTGGTTTGCTTTTTGTTTTTTGGGTTTTTTTTTTTTAAATATTTGCTACACCATTATTTGTAGGTGAATTTTGAAGGCAAATAGCTGCAACAGTGATGTTATGTGCCTGCTAATCTAGGCTGGAGAATACAGGAAGCATGAACCTGAATATGCCATTTTATATTTGGCTATTTTTATTAGCAAGAGGAGTGTGAAGTTTGTGATTTTCAGTCTTATGTTGGCTTTTCCAATGTTTTTCTTCCACCATAGTTGAGATGGATAGCCTTTCTGAACTATCCCAGCAAGGTGCCAACCATGTCAACTTCGGTCAGCAGCCGGTCCCAGGGAACACAGCCGAACAGCCTCCATCCCCTGTTCAGCTTTCTCATGGTAGTCAACCATCCGTTCGGACCCCGCTTCCAAACCTGCACCCTGGACTTGTATCTACTCCCATTAGCCCTCAGCTGGTAAATCAGCAGCTGGTAATGGCCCAGTTGCTGAACCAGCAGTATGCAGTGAACAGACTTCTAGCCCAGCAGTCCTTAAACCAGCAGTACTTGAACCACCCTCCTCCTGTCAGTAGATCCATGAACAAGCCGTTGGAGCAGCAGGTCTCAACAAATACAGAGGTGTCTTCCGAAATCTACCAGTGGGTCCGTGACGAACTCAAACGAGCAGGAATCTCGCAGGCAGTATTTGCACGTGTGGCTTTTAACCGAACTCAGGTCAGTTGTCTTTTTTTCTCTCTTTGTTTTTCAATCTAAGAGTCCATTCTTTCTCTCTCTCATTAGTAATTATCACCATTTAAGCCTCTCTCCTCATTTCTGCCTTGTCATTTAGCTCCTGTGAAGGAACCATGCTTCCTTGCAGGACAAGTGTCCACGTTGGTACAGTACAGAAATCTTCAGTGACTGGTTTGTGGAAATACCCACTGTTCTTACAACCATGCTGGTTCCTCTCCAGTTGTGATGGTTTACGAATAGCTGAATCTTCACTGGAAAGGAAATGAACAGCTCTATGCAGAACCGTTCACAAAGTCACCTAACAGATTGCCTTTTGTGTTGCAAAGGTATACTGACCACATTCATGTACTGAACAATCTGTCTTCTTTTACAGGTATACTGGAGATGGTCTTTTATTCTTATTTTCAGTTATTTTTATTTTAGTGAAAGTCCTAATAACATCTTTTCAGGCTTCTGAAAAGATTAAAAATTAAAAGCTTTATTTTTAGATCATCTACTCTATGTATTTTTGTAGTTTGTTGCAAAAACAGTAGTTGCTGAGATTGCCAATGTCCACGTCAGAACATATACTTCAGCTCTTCAATGCAGAAAAAGCTAGCTAGCCCTAGCAAAGCTGATAAGTAACACTAAAATGTGTTATTTTTTACACCTGTTTTAGAAGCTAACCCTGTTATAATTTATTCTGCTCTATGAATTTAACTTAATGCCATGTTGCATGGAATTTAATCAAGCAGAAATTATGGAAGAAATGTCAGTATATCCAGTGCAAATAATAAGATCTCAAAATTTTAGAAGTCTGTTTTAACAGAAAATAAAATAGGATATTCATTGTACAGAAAATAAAAAAAAAAAAAAAAAAAAGAAGATATTGGTAAATTTGCTTTGGATTCCACATTTTTAAACCTAAGGAACAAGTATTTGTCCATTGTAGAGTATAGTAAAAAAATCATAATTTGGGCTTGTCGTGGAATGTTGGTGTGTCTCCCTGCATAGCTCAGAGAATAAAAACTCCATTTCAAATGCACTGGTAACAGGTTTGAATCAGTATGTCATTTGAAAGTGTTCTGAATTATTATTGCCTTAAAAATTTTTACATCCTCTTTTAGCTAAGAGAAAGTAGAGTCATTGTGTGAATTCTCTGTAGAGCTATGTGTGTGTATGTCTTTCCTTTTAGCAGCAGAGGAGTTTTTCAAGATCTGGGTTGCTCATACAGAATTTCATGGGATACATGAACTTGTACAAGGATTACTTGTGCAAGTTAGGTTCAGGCAATGCCAGTTGTTATATTTACAAAAAAGTGACATAGAATTTTGTTTAATAGAGTGTTTAATGTTTTAGCTATTGATAATACAGAGTATTGAAGTAATAATAGTAGCTTCAAGTTACACTGGTTTGCAGCTGCCATCTTACTTGGACAAAAAGCCAAGCAAATAATTCAGAAAATAAATAGTTTATTAAATATTTACTTGTTTCTCAGACTTGCCTAAAAGCATCTTGTTTTCTCTCAACTTTCTTCCCCCTCCAAAGTATAATTCATTCAGGTTTTGTCAGCTAATTTTTCAGCTTTTTTGTCAGCTTTTGGTCTATCATTTGTGCATGAGCGCAGTGTTACCTGAATAAAAGGATGATTGGCTCTAACTGGACACTGAATTTATATGACACAGTATGAGAAGATGCTCTTGAGATGTGATGAATGCAAATGTAGAACCAGATTTCTAGTGCAAACACTGATTTCTGATTACTATATATTTTTCTAGCTACAAACGTTATTACATATTTGTTTAAAGTTGAACTCTTCCACAGATGATGTGGCTAACCAGCTTGGTAAATGTGTTCAAAGTGACCCAAAACTGTGAGGAACCCCAAAATGAACATTGAAAACAAATCCCATGAGGAGATATGCTATAGATATGTAATAGATACGTAAATAGCATAAATAAATAGCTTAAATAAATAGACATGTAAATGGCAATTTTCAATCAAATCTACTAAAAAAAACACCCCACAGAGTAGTATCCCTATGTCCTACAGATTGTGTTAGCTAATCAAATCAGTATTTGCAGATAGCTACATAAGATTTTGCAGTATTTGTTATGTATTGTGGCAAACATAGGAAACAGAAAGAAAAATACTAGGAGCCTAGAGAATATTTGCCTCAGTGTTGCCAAGAAATATCTCAGTATACTTTTCATATGGAGCAAAGCCCCACTGAAATCCAGAGGAGTTTGTTGTAGGCACATTTCACCTTGGCAAAACTGAAAATTATTCATTTTGCCAACAGTAATAGCTAATGTCCAAGCATAAACACAGGTAGAGATACCCGTGATTCTTATATGAAAATATGTACATTTGTTCTACTTGCTGTACTTCTGAATTCACCAGAGCTTATTCAAGGATACATCACATTTAACTAAAATTAGGGCAGCGCTTTAATAACTGATGCTACTTAGAAGTTATTTTCTAATATTGATGTAATGCCCTTTGTCTTTTTTCTTTTTCCTTTTTGGCTAGAGCAGGTGAAAGTGCTTGTTTAAATTCATCTACTGTTTTCTGAGATAAAAAGCTAACTCGGGCTTACCACTGATATTTTTGAAATTGTCATAAGCATATTTGAGCTGTGTCCAGGGACCATATCATGCCATCAGTTTCTAAAGGCAGAAGATCTCACTGAAGTTGGTTAGGAATTCTGTGCAAACTCTGATGTTGAGATATGGTCTCAGATGAGGGGGAAGATTTGCTTTCAGTGTAAAAGTTAAGGAAGGAAGTTAATGATAAACTAAGAGTAATCTAGCTTAATGTAAAAATGGACGTTGGTGGAATTGGGTGACCATCTTGGCACCTCTTGTTTTAAGACTTGTGCTCTGCAATCTGAATACAGAATTTGGTGGTGGTTTTGGATGGGAAGAGTGGGTTCTGAGTTTAGTGTCGTAGTTCAACACTTGGCCCTGATTTCAAGAATTTTTGATTTGGGAGCAAAAATGTTGACTAGAAATATTTGTACCTCTTCCGAGTTCAAATGAAAGAATTTTGTAAAATTAATTCTGAAAAATAGGATGTCTTTTGGGGGGATTTGGGGTTTTTTTTGTTTGGTTGGTTTGCTGAGTTTTTTGTTTGTTTGGGTTTTTTTTATTATCATCTACCTATAAGGCAGAAAAAAACCCCAGACGCACCTTATAAAATTGAAAGGATGTCCTTAATATCTTGGATAGCTTCTCCCCCAGCCTTACTTTCAAAATGGTCCTTTTAAAACTGTAGTTCTCAGGAACGTGCCTTGCAAAGTTTAGTCAGAGGAGTCCAGATAGCTGTAACTTGAATGAAAATTAACATCTACACAGGCACAATAGAACAGTTGTAGGATGCAGAAGCAGATTTGGATGATGGAGCACCTCTCCCCATAAAAAATTTCACAGTGGTCCTTCAAGGAAGGCTTCAGAGTGCAGCAGGGTCTGAAGTTTTATTTGTCCTTCGGCAGTTGCGATTCCAGCTCACTGGCTGCAAAGAGACTGATTGAATCCTCTTGGCCCTCTTTTCCAACATGGAAAAGGTTGTTGACTCAGGATTTGTGCTAGCAGATCTGAGTTTCACCTCAAGCTTGGCAACCAGTTACGGCTCACCAAATGCGTCTATCAGTCTCTCTGTTAGCTAGGGTGATTTTGGTGAATTGATCTCCTTGTGTTTCAGTCGCTGTTTGACTGAATAGACTATATTTTTTCCAGGTGATGTCAGTGCAGACACCTCTGATCTTTTGAAAGAGTGAGGTCAGTATTATCCTGCACTTTGCTGGCCAGAAAATGGCATTTGTGATCAGCTCGCTGGGCTGGGTGCCACCAACTAGCCGCAGGATGGTGGTGCTGATGCATCAGGGCAGCCCCCAAAAGTGCAGTGCCCCTCACTAGCCTCTGCCACAGCCTCCCGTTGGGAGAGAGGCTCAGCCTGCCCCTGCAGATTTGCAATCAAACTGGGAGGTTCTCTACTCTGCTTTATTGAGAGGGCTGGAGTGGAGCATAGGCTGAACCACCTTCAGAGCCCTAAACAAATAAACAAACTCCTCTCCCATTTCTGTTGTGTGTTTGTAAATGTAAACATGAGTCAGGAAATGGAAAGCTTGGGTTCCCACAAGCAAGGCTGATGTTTGACTTGCAGGTGTAGCTTAACTTGGTGCATGGCAGAGTGACATGTATGTACTGTGTGAGCAAGGAATTGTGTTAGTCATGGTTGTGGTTGGAACTGTAACTCTGGGCTGCCCATCTCTGTGTACACTTTCAACCGTAACTTTGCTGCATGAACCTGGGTGCTGCCGTACGGAGATGACCTCTTGGCTTCATCTTTGCTAAGGGAGAGGGAGTGCTTTTTGCTGCTTTTGGCATGCCCAACTATTGTAATTTTTCTTCTTCCCACCACTGACAGTTTTTAATCTCAAGGGTTTTGCGTACTTCTCTGTTTCTGCCAGATACCTTTTCTCTTGCCCTCCTTTCTACTTCACCCCCATGCTTGTTTAAAATATTAGCTGCTGGGATATGTTGCCTTTTGTTCATGTATAATGCCTTTTCTCATATGTGAAAACTTCTGTGTATTTAGGACTGTGCTCATGCTAATTCTGGGCAATCGCTATTTCAAGGGAGAACGCTTGGATGCAATAAACGGCTCTGTGTAATTTTAAAACAAAATCTAAGTTTACACAAACCAACTTCTCAGGCAGGGTTTTTTTGTTGTTTTTTTTTTCTTCTACTTTGTCTTTGGCACACTTTATTTTCCAGTAAAATGAAAAATGAAGATGGATTATTCAAAATTGATAACAGTAATGGACCATCATGTAATGTTTTATTGAATTTGAGTTCTGTAAATTATGTGGTAGAGAGAAATTTGCCTGCTTAAGTATAACAGAAATTGCCACTGTATTCATATAATTCTTCGTAGTGTAATTTAAGAAAAAGCACACTATCCATATCACTATTGAATAAAAGGTAAAAAGGTGCTATTACACTATCATGACAGCTCTCCTCTTGATACTAAGCGACATAGATAAATGTGTCTGCTTATAACTTACTTGGCAGAGATCCAGGCTTATGGGTGGAGCTTGTGAATAATCTTCCACCTGGACATGGGATGGGAGCACCCTGCAAAGGAGAGGAATAGTGTTCAGGGATGTTCTGCATGTTTTGGGCAAATTTCTTCTGGGAGCTTTGAAGTTCTATCAGGCTGATAAAATCTATTTGAATCAGTGATTACGTTCAAAGAGGAGACAAACTGGAGGCCAGACAGGCAGGGGTTTTGTTCATACTGGCAGACACTTTTGTTTATCTCCATTTTTAAAGAATTCATAATTAGGTTTTGAAAGCCTTGATAATTTTTATTGAACATTTTTGTGCAATTAGTAACGAATTATACTTGTGGTGACACGTAAACTTTCTTTTTTTCAATGGGATCTGGTAACATTTTAAGACAATGAATTTCCAGTGTGAAAAGAATACAGTGGAGGAACAGTGAGGACCCTGAGCTTAGCAGTGTTGATAATCTTTCTGCAAAACAGCATTTAGCTTTTATACAACCTGAGGTACAATATCAGGAGATCACACCAAGACTGGTATCTTGGCAAACCAATTCAAACCTGGTAAAATGAGCAGTAAATCTCTGCATGTCAGCATGGGGCAGGATGTGAGAGATGATTTTTTTCTTTCTAGGGTTTTCCCATTTTACATCTTGTACAACAATCTTTATCTGAAGTTTTGTGCTCAGAAAATTGAAGCAGTAGCAAGAAAGCAGTATTTGAAGCAGGCAAACTGTATTGTAAGACTTTGCCTGCGACTGTTATTACACCTTATATTTTGTATTATTTCCTCACGTATTCTGACCTTTAGGTTCAAAGCTCCTAGAAGCAAACACCTTCTCCTTGCCTTCCCCCTGCTCTCTCATTTCCCCTTCTCTCTCTGCATCTGTGTTGTCTCCTCTGCTCCCAGCTCATGCAGAGAGCCATGGCAGTGATGGGGGAAGGAGAGGGGAATGAATGCTTAATGGCATTTCTAATCACCAAGAGGTGTCCTGCAGCAACGGTTATACTGACAAATGCAGGAAAAATACAAAAACCTATTTTCTTTGTTTACTTATTTCACTGAGGGGTGAAAAGTTACACAAGAAAAACAGCCTTTTCCACTTTTTTTTAGCTGCTCACTATGTGAGAAAGACTTATACAAGCAAATATTTTCTATTATGGACTGAAGTACTTTTCAAGGACGTTTGCTGTGGCTGCCAGCGGGCTGTTAGTAAGGAGCTGGCTGTTAGTAAGGAGTCTTCTCTCCTGCCAGTCCGTTTGAGTTTAGTTTCCCTTTCTTCTTTTTAGTCCTGGTTGCTTTCGGCACAGTAGCAGTCAGAAATCACATGTGTCTACAACTACCTGAAAGGAGATTGTAGCAAGGTGGGTGTCAGTCTCCTCCCAAGTTACAAACAATAGGAGAAGAGGAAATGGCCTCAAGTTGCACCAGGGAAAGTTTAGATTGGATATTAGGACAAACTTCATCATCAAAAGGGTTGTAAAGCACTGGAACAGGCTGCCCAGGGAAGTGGTTGAGCCACCATCCCTGGAGGTATTTAAAAGATGTGTAAATGTGGCACTGACGTGGTTTAGTGGTAGACTTGGCAGTGCTTGGCTAGTGGTTGGACTTGATGATCTTAAAGGTCTTTTCGAACCTAAAGTATTCTGTACGTCCTGTGCTCTGCAGACAGCTTTGTCTCTCTTGGAGAATGAGTCGTGTAACCCTGCCACTGACAAATAGTAGTATCTATGGGTTTTAGTACTCAACAGTAGAAAAAAACATGGGAGACAAGAATTTGATTTCCATATTTGCTAGTAAGTATATTTATTATTAGAGTAATTATTAAGAAAAATTTTAAAACTTATACTCCACCCAAATGCCACTTTTGTGTGTAACTCATTTATTTGCCTTCTAAATCTTTTTCTGACACCAGAAAAGAGAAGGGAGCAAGAATAGTCCCAGATGGCCAGGCCTGCTCCACTGCTGAGAACCAAGATAAAATGATTGTGTAGGAAACCTGTTGTGGTCTGTACAAGCCACTGGTGGCATGCTGTTGCCTGCAGCCTGCCCATCTCTGACACTGCTGTACAGATGCCCCCAGTGTCTGCTTTTATCTATCCTTGCTGGACTTTGAAAGTGGTCAAAGGACAACAGTGGTTTTAGGAAATTGGAAGTGGAATTAGGAAATGGGACTTGTATGGCAGGTTTTCAAATAAATAACCCAGGCAATGGGGTGGGTGAGAATTAGGGTTGTCCTAGGGAAAAGAGGAGCATGGTGGGAGGAGGAGGAAGGTGAAGAAGGAGGGAGCATTCAACAGTGAGTTTCCTAACTTGTTAAACTCCCGTATACAACTCTCAGAACAAAATATTGACTTGTAAAAACACATGACCTGAGTCAGTTAAGCAGTACTTCAGAAACGTTGCGAGTTTATCATCTCAGATTAGTTGTGAAATATCACTTCCTTTCAAAGAGCTGTTTAAATTGCTAGAAATGTGCAAAGCCGTTTTTTTTTTTTTAGGTTGGCTATACATTTTGTCTGGGAAGCCTGAGAACACCCCAGTGTCATGCCTCTGGACTATCCGTATTTCACTTATTCTTAATGTCTTATGATTGTCTGTCGACTGTGAAAGATTTCATGGCAAGTTAAGCCAGTAAAAAGAAGGAGACCTCTTAGGCAGATTCAATTTATGTTGTATGTAAAACAGATGCTTAATAAAATTAAGGGTACAATTGAGGCTCTCTTCTCACTACCTAAAATGCCATTAATATATTCCTCTGTGGAGTGAATAGTGTATCCGCTGCTCTCGTTCTCAGCCCAGTGGAAAGAAGAGGACGGATAAGCAGTAGCTTTGGAGAGCACGGTTTTACAGGCACTGACCTAGGCTAACTCTCTAGCATATTTTTGTCTTCCCTTCCTACAGGGCTTGCTCTCAGAAATCCTCCGAAAGGAAGAGGATCCCAAGACTGCCTCGCAGTCCTTGCTGGTAAACCTTCGGGCTATGCAGAACTTCTTGCAGCTGCCGGAAGCTGAACGAGATCGAATTTACCAGGATGAAAGGGAAAGGAGCTTGAACGCAGCCTCCGCAATGGGCCCTGCACCTCTCATAAGCACACCACCTAGCCGGCCTCCACAAGTAAACCACTCTCTCTGTCCTTGAGATTTGCTCTTTGTGTTTTCTCGCTGACCTGCTGGGTGATACCTTTCGTAAAAAGAAGAAAGCTTTTACTGTTGGCATTTTTTAAACGCTTGTGGAATCATTATTTGCAGTGCATATCACAAATTAAATTTAAGAAGTATAATGGATGATAGTAGCAGTTTATTACTACCTATTTTCTGGTTTTAAGATAAATTCTATCCATTATGGCCCCTACAGAGTTTTTTGTTAATTTTATTTAATTATTAAGATTCTGGCTTTTAGCTGTCTTTTTTTATCTGTAATTCTCAAGTGTTATTTTTAACATTAGAGGTTCAAATAACGATGTTGAAGGATTTGGACCACTAAGTTGAGTGGGAATGAAAGCGGAAGTATGAGTACATCGTATTGTCTTAAAAATTATCTTCCAGAAAGTTAACAGGTAAAACTAAAGGGATGGGGGAAAGAAGACTCCATCCGAAAATGCTGGGGACACTTTTACCAGGTTGAGCTACTGACAACTGGGTAACATGACAGACTTGCTATATCCATCGCTCTTGAAAGATATGGATATGTTTTTTAAAGCTTCATTTAGGACTTGTTCAAATGAAACCCATATTGATTTCTGTAAAATCTGGTGGAGCTGTTGGTTTAGTTCTCTCACAGTGATAAAGTTTGGTCTAGTGGGATCCAGAAATTCAGTGATGTAGTCCTTGTGTCTATCAAGGAGACTCTAATGGTGATTTTAGGGTACATGAGGAATACAGGCGTGAGCCATAGGAATGCATAGGATTTCTACAAAGAAAAAACACGGTTGCGAGTGAAACACTCCAAAACCCTGTGTTTTCTGAAGTACTCTGCGTTGCTGTGCCTCAAGATTGTACCTATGCAAGGAGAAAACAAACTGATCTGCATGTATGTAGGAAACATGGTGTATATTCAGTCTGGATTTGCTATGCAAAGCAAGGCTTTGGGGTCGTGGGCGTTTTTTGATGGTTGAGTACATAAACACAGCAGTTTTTTACTAACCAGGCTTAGGCTTGTGCCTATGACTCTCTGCCATACTCATTCTCAGTGCTATAAATTCCTCAAGATTATTTTTCTAATTTTTCTGCAGCTAATGGATGCTAAGGACCACACTAAAGTAATGAATAACGGAATTGTAGGAAAACGAGGACAGAAGATCACTTTGACCTGCTGCAGTATTTTTCACAAGAAGAGAAAAAATTCTTAGCAGAAAGAACAGGCTCTGCTAATGGTCTAGTTTTGTTATCATTAATTGAGTTTAGTCTGTGAAATACACTATAGATACTCTTCAAGATAAAGGATGAGAATCAATTTACATAGTAATGCTTTAGTGGGAAATAATTAAATATAGATAACTGTGTTTAAAATAACATTGGAGTTTGTTTTAATATCTGTACCTGTTCCCACAGCCCAGGTAATTCAGAGCAAAGGCTAACCCTCCTTCTTAACTTATCTCTTTCTGCCAAGGTAATGTCTCACTCTGTCTCAAGTGGTCTTGGGCAATTTCACAGCTAAAGAACAGAGTTAATTACAGGACCTTCCAGAAGGATGTCAAGCCAGAGGTAGTCCTTGTATTGGTTTTAATTCACACTTTAAACTGTGTAAGTCTCTGGCAGTCAGAAAGAAAGTGAGACTTAGGGGTTTCCTTAACTGACAAAACATACTGTAAGTCCAAATTTAGAGGTTGGAGAAGGGGGGATCTATCTGTCTCTGCTGTGCTCTTGTTCGTAATTACATTTCATTTTTTTAGTAGCAGTCAGGAGTATAGTTAACCTAATTGTGACAGTTCAAAGTGGAAACAACACAGTTTTGATTCCTTTCTAAAGGAAAACAAGGAAACCTTATAGACTAATACTTGATATCTACAAAACAAAACAATCATATTTCTGGTTGTTATACTGTTCTTTATCATTCAGCAAAATATACACACTTTACCTAGTGGATGGCTGGAGGATGTAGGAACCTCTGAGTTGCCATTCTGTTTGACTTTTTTACATGTTGCCAGAATTACCCACCTATAAACATGTGAAACACTTGCCAACTGCTACTGAGTGTTCAGAGTTCTAAGTTCGAAAATTGAAATATCCATGTTGGTAACATAAGTACACTTAATGCTAGAAATAGTAATTAAATTGTTCTAGTTTTTGCACTGGCAAATATAACTACAAATCATAGCAGAAATAAATTATAGTCAGGATACTTCAAAATTATTAATGCAAACTACTGCTCTGATATCCCCCTCCCCGAAAGTCCACAGTTTATTTAATATTTGATACTAAGGAAATAAAACTACTAGCATTCTTACCATTAAATTTATTAGAAGCAGTTATTTAAAGTTCACTATACAGGAATGCAGTGTAATATTTTTCTAGCTTAGCTGTCAGTTTCTTGGACGACTATTGAAAGACAAAATAGACCATTTATCCTGACAACAGAATTTACGCAAGAGCCAACATATTTGATATTAAATCTTTAGACCAGTGTAACGTTTGAAACAATTAAACTATGAAACCATGAAAAATAGGAGCTAATATGCCACACATGAAGGTTTATTTTGCAATTGCAAGTTATCAGTTTCGGAAGGATGTGAAAATAAACATCCTGAAAAGGATCTATTTTGCATTTTTGTGTTGCCAACTGGTGGCCAGACAGTGGAGCAGACTTAACCGTTTAGCAGCTGTGCTTGTTCTGTGTGAATTTTGCATATTGTTGCATGCAAAAACAGAAAGCATGACCTTGGAGGTTTGATAGGATAGTAGGAACTCACCAAACGTACACCCTGGTGCCTGAGTTAGAAGGAACTGTGTTGAATTTATCTCATTTTTACAGCATTCTTACTAGTTGCTACTTGAGCTAATGTATCTGGATTGTTTCCAATTCTTTTTTGAAATCCTTTAAGAAGCTCATTGTCCCCCTCACTTCTCCTTTTCTCTCTGACTTAAACAAAAAAGCAAAATCTTACTTTTTAATTTTTTTTAAATTGAAATCATTAGCCTCTAATGCATGAGCTTTTGGGATACACATATAGCCCTCTAAGCTGGTCAAGTTATAGAAGTCTGCTACTGTCTTTCATGCTGGTGGACTGGGCACAAGGAGTTGGCATACACAAGGATTTTTCCCCTGGTCATTGTTCATCTTGCCACCTCCTGGGGCAGAAGCCTGTCTGTCAGGCTCTTTCCTTGGGCTCTGAAGTTTATAAATATTAGCATCTCCATCAGGTAGGTACTGCATCACGGAGACGGTTTAACCTCTTCAACCTAGAAGGAAGAACAAAAGCCCATATTCCCCAAAGAAAATTTGTGATAACTTTTGGGGACCATTATCATCCTCCGTAAACAGAGTACATGTAACATCAAGATTAGAATATCATTTTAACAAGGTGGTGTTTTAAGAAGTATCCACAAATCTTGCATGAGTTATGGTTCTGGGTACTCAGTTGACAAAACCCTTCATTTTCATAAACGTAATCCTGGCCTGCCTCTGACTACAGATAAATTACAGTTCCTCCATGCTAAAGCTGTTTCAGTTTGGGTCCCAGAGATAGGATGTCTCTCTTGAAAGACTGGTCTCGAGGAGGACACTGCTTTTCTGGTGTTTGAGGACCAGTGAACCTCCATTGCAAGGAACTCTGGATAACACCAGTTCCTGTGAATCTTAACAGTGGAGCCCTGGAGTTCAAACACATGCACATGCCATACGTCATCACCAGTGAAATTTTTGTTTGAGAATGAGGTTGATTTCTTTGTGCCAAGTTGCATTTTAATGAAAGTAAAAATGCACAAAATAATAAATACAACCCTCTTACCACCACCCCTGAAAACCACCATGGAGGAGAGTTAATGGAAACCCTGACACTTAACTATAACTGCACTTCCAGGCGCCACTGTAATAATGGAGTAGTAAACCTTGTCCTGATAAAAGGACTGTTTCAGCTGTTCTGAAAGCAATAGCATTTATTGTACCTCCTGTGCTATTTGCAGAGCAGAACTGAAAAGTAGTTTGTTTTGCCTGGAATGAACTACTTTATGAATTTTAATGTACGATGTAATATTAAAAGCTAAACCAGGATTAAAGAAGACTTTTTTTCCCAAGCTAAAACAGTACTTATGAGAATGTGTTATAAGAGATTTTTTTGTTTCACTTTTGATAGGGAAGAAATGAGCTTCCATATTTGTGAAAACCTCTTCAGATTGGTTATCCCTTCTATAAAAAAACTGTCCTTTGTTTAGAAAAATCGAATTAATCCAGAACTTCTTGCTACTGTAATCAGTCTTATTTGTTGAGAAGATGTATCTAGGCAGGCCAGGAGGGGATGGATGTGTTTGGGTTGGTTTTTTTTTTTTTCCCCAAGTATTTTTAGAAGACTAAATTGATTGGTGACAGGAAGATGGCCAAATGATTTCTGATTCTTGGTGTGTTACATTTGTAAAATATAGCTGCCTTGTTCAGTTAGTGTTTGTAAAACCTAGTTAAAAAAATTAGCTGATCTATGGTTTCTTTCCTAAACAGAAAATGTGGCTATAAGTGTGGGTGGTGTGCTTAAGTGTGTATAAGATGAGAGATTATGTTTTGTTTTGTTTTTCTCTCCAAAATGAATACTTTTTCCACCTCCTCTCCCAAGTCCTGAAGTTGCACGGTTGAGGGCTTTTTTGTTTTCTGTTCAGGTTTTTTGAGGAGGAGGGTGTTTTTTCAACCCAGCTTCAAACAGCCTCTGTCTTGAACTCGATTCTAAATTCAACACAACAGCCTAGATGCTTGCTATGTATAAATTATGAAACAATTTTATGTATGGATATTCTCCAAGAGGTTAATTAGCGTTATTGCATGGGATTCATCAGACCAGAGCAAACCAATGGTCCATCTAGTCCATCCAGAGTCTATACCTGATCTTTGAAGAGGAATTATTAAGAGGCAGGGGAAGAATTTTTATACTTGGGCAGTGATGTAAATTGGAGAGGGTGAGGGTATGGCTGTGAACAACAACTCCTGATAATCCCCAAACAGATCATTTTAGAACTTTAAGACTTCTATTCTCCTCAAGCTTTTGAGGCTAATACGGCTTTTTGATGCAGATGTCCCAACCCTAGAAGTGTTCAAGGCCAGGTTGGACAGGGCTTTGAGCAGCCTGGTATAGTGGAAGGTATCCCTGCCCATGTCGGGGGGTTAGAACTAGGTGATCTTTAAAGTCCCTTCCAGCCCAAACCATTCTATGGTTCTATATGTGTTCTGTGTTGTTCATTTCCTAATGCAGTTATCAGTAGAAGGCATCAGGATTTTGTCTGTTTGAACTTCAGTGATTTATTGGATGCTGTTGAGTTTGTTGTACCTGTAAAAGGATAGATGTGATTTACCAACCAAAATGAGGATTTTCAGTAATTCCCCTGGGTTAAATGCATATCTGTAGTAAATCGGGTATTGAAAAGTGCGGACCAAGATGCACAGCTTAAATTATGTCTCCAGCATGGTGTGCAAGTCCTGGTTTTGATGATCTAGGTGTTTGCAGCTCAGTTAAGTGGTCTGTGAAGTACTGCTACAATGTGAAACTGTCTTATGAAGCTGAGTAGCAACCAAAAAGGCAATGTGCTTACAGAAGAGAGACATTTTGATGAAGATCACAAGAGCAAAGTGTTTCCTTCCCAAAAGATACCATGGACTTGTGTGTGCTAGCTGAATACCATCATCTTCTCATCTTCCTCTTAGGACCCTGAAAGATTAGTTACAAGTTAGAAATATTCCTTTGGAAGGAGTGAAATAACTTTGCCAAAATTTAAACCTGAGTTCCAAGAAGGTGTGTTGACAAAACCATCTCGTTTTCATTTTGTAGTTTAGCTTAGCCCGATTTTTACATGGAAGCAGAGAAGGCTGTCTCCAGTTGTATATTTAACATCACCGTTGGTTGTCAGTTATTTTTTACTTTAAAAGTTATAAAATTGCCACTGATTTTGGAATTCTCAAATGATTTCACTGCATGGTATTCAGGAGCTGCACCTGCTCTTGTGGCCACATGCTGATTTGCCTAGTGTGAGGCGTGTGTTTTCCTGCTCTGCGGTAGGAGGAAGGGAGGTTCATCTTGCTGCTCCTCATGCTGCCCACTGCCAGGTGCCTCAAATGTTTCTGAGCAGGTGTTGGACCAGGCTTGGCCACCTTGTAGTGTAGCATCACTTGAAAATGTCACGCTGCAGAAGTGGAAAGGCCTCACTCTCCAGGTCATGTCTGCAAAGTACCAATTGTTTTCAGGCAAAAGCAAATCACGTCATAAACTTTATACTACATTCTGAAATTTCTCTTCATTTCCCTTTTTGTTTAGGTTTCATGTTTTCAGATACCAGAAAGTTGCTAATGTCTGCCAGAAGGCGGCAGGTGGAGGTGTGTTTGGACGCCTTGTTCTTGCTGGGGTTTTGCCCCTAGCAGCTAATGGGCATGTGTTAGCACAGCTCCTTTTGGAAAGCCACATAGACAAATCAGGCGCAGCAAAAGTGGTGTGCACTCCCAGTTCTGGGCTAGATTATTTTATCTTAAAAGCACTGTGGAGGATAGTTAACACAAATTGAGCATGACACTTCTAGGAAAAAATGGGTGGATGATTTGCCTAAGTACATCTCTCACCTTTGACAGTCATAGTGTAAGACCTGTGACATATGAAAACTCGTAGAGGGTTAGATTAGAAGATAAATTATCATGTTGTCATGATTTCCCTTTGAACCTCAAGGGACTTTAGAGCACAGGAAGATGCTGACTTGCACTGGATTAAACTGATAGTGAAAGTGTGGGTTTAGGCGCGTACTTAGGAGTAGGCTGAATCACCCTCTGGAAGTGCCAAGCTCTGTCCATTAGATTTCAAGGCAGCCTGAATGACTGACTTAGGCTGGACGTGTAACTTCTAAATGGCTATATTAGTGCAGCTCTTAAGAATCTCAGTATGAACCAGTAGATTTGAATTAAAATCTAAAGGTTTGATTTTGCATCATCACCTTGAGGGTTCTTGGCAGAAATCCAGTCTTTCCTTTTCTCTGGTCTGTTTTAGGATTAGTGGTCCATTAGGTCCGCTAATCTTGGGCAAGCATTGCAACAGTAGCTTCTAAAGAAAGATGTTATCCTTAACTATTGAGAATATTATAGAGTAAGCTGAGTAGCTGGTGATTTTTTGTACCTTTCAACTGATATTGCAGAAACTGCACTGTAACCCTGGTGGGATGATTCTTGGTGTTGAAACATCGCTTCAGTCATTTCCAGAGGCTGAAGGAAAGGATTTTCTTCTGCACTTCATGTCACTACTGATGTATGTTTTGTTGTTTCCCTTAATGCTGCAGATGCAGCACAGATGTGGTGGTGTAATCATTCTGTCTTGTTTTCATGCGCTTTTTTTCTCCCTTCTTTTTTTTTTAACCTGGACTGCAGGAAGAATAAATGTTTGATGTATATAAGTGAAATACAACTACAATTAAGATTTAAAAAAGCCCTACCTTAATTTCATGAATGAGTGGCTGAAATATTCATTATTCTAAATTACTGCTTTCTTAAAAACAGCTTAAGAATTCAACTGGTAAGATAATATTTTTTAAAGTTAAATCTAAAGCCACAACTTCTCTGCATTATCATGCATTTGAGTGTACTGGACATAAGGCATGAATCAAGATATATCTGTCAGGGGGTTATTTCATTAGAGGTTCTTTTATGCTGCACTTACTATTTTCACTTAACTTGCATGGAGTAAAGAAATCATGTAAGGATTCACCAGTCCCTACAAGATTGTTTGACAGGTTTGCACCTAATTTGTTTTATGCTGTTGAAAGTCACAGTGGTCAGTTAATGATAACTCATATTTCAGATGCACTCACCTGTTAACAATATGCTGAATTTTCTTGTTTCTCGGTTGCCCAAACCATGAATAAGTTATAATGTTAGGTCTCTGAAAAGCTGAAAGAACATCGGAGCAAGATTGAATAAAAGGAATAAAATGGAAAGGGGAACTACTCGGGGAAGGAAAGAGAAGAAAATAGGTTCTTCATAATGAAAAATGTCTCATAAAATTTATTTTCTAGGTCAAAACTGCTACTATTGCCACGGAGAGGAATGGAAAGACAGAAAATAATTCCATGAACATTAATGCTTCCATTTACGATGAGATTCACC